TCTTCATTATGATTATTATTTATTACTGAATTAATTTGAACCACTGGAATGATTGTTTGGCGTTGTTCGTCATTTATATGTTGTTCAGGAGAACTTGTGGACTGATTTATTTGTTCTATTTCTGCATTATCTGTTTGAATTGGAATATCATCAGTATTATTTGTATATTCATTGTTTACAATTGAATCTATAAATAAATAACAATAACATTAATTCTTGTTTTGTCAAAAAGATCTAAACGTACACACACACTCAAAAATAAAAAATTGAATTAGAATCAAAGGAATAGACTTGGCATAGATGGCGAACCCACAAAGCTTGAATAAGCTCAAACACTTTTTTCTCTTTTTATCAGATTGATAGATTTTAGTAGCCCATCACAATTCTTGAACAAATATGAATAGCAGCTAATAATAACACTTTCTTAGTCAAATAGACTTAGAAAATGTTTGAGTAAGTATTAGATCCTATATTGCCAATTATTTGAAGTGAGAGTCCTTTACTACGATTGTACAGAAAACCTGAGTTACAGTAAATAGAATCTGTCAAAATTTTTCTTCGTTTTTAGTTACTAAGATTTCATTCTCATTAAATATTTTCAATTGTTAACAAAATCATCACTATTATACGTTGCAAAATGTAAGTTCGAAAAAAAGAAGCATTAACTGGATTTTATTTAACGCAAAAAAGCCCTCAAAATTGTAAGTAGCTTTTGAATTGAGACTGAGTGCATTATGTTGATCCAAATGAGCTATTAATACACCTTGAAAAAAGTTCGTGGTATTTAGCTTATTGTTACGACGATATTGTACTATTATGATATTTTTAAACGAATGCTGTGATGTAGAAAACCTGATTTTCAAATTTCGACTAGATTATTTTTTACAGAGACAGATCTTAACAAGAGTACAGTAGTTTATTGAATCTACTGGTTTATATAAACGATGTATAAGACACGCTTTTATCATAGTTTTGTCTTTCAATGGGAATGACTGCAAGATCTGAAATATTCATACAAAACTATTGTCGCTAACACCTATCTCTAGGCAAAGCTTCAGGTCGAAATTTGAAAAGCAGGTTTTCTGCCTCAGAGCGTTCATTTAAAAAATACCATAAAAATACAGCATTTACGAAAGGAAGAGCTAAGGGGGCGAACTTATTTCAGGATATTCATAGCTCATTTGGAGCTACATAATGCACATAGTCTCAACTCAAAAGCGATTTATCAGTTGAAATACTTCTCTCATCAATAATATACAAAAATCGTTCTCTCTCATTTATATAACTTCGAAATGTAGGTCTCATAAAAAAACGAATGCATCTGAAAAAAATAAAATGCTGATTTTCGATTGACTGAAAGGAGATCACCATGAGTCAGTAGCGCTCTATGTGTAGTAGAAACATTCATTTATCTCACTTCAATCAAATTTAACTACGAAAATTTTCTGTATACCTTTTAATGAAGATTGTATATGAAATCGACCATGTGTTTCGATATTATTTAAACCATTCTTAAAACAAAAAAAGAAAATTTAATATATATGCATTAAAATTTTCTAAGAAAAAATAAAAATACCTGATTAATTTGATCTGAATCATTGCTTATTGGAGATTGTTGTTGTAAATCTTCTAAATGATGTGTTCGCTGATAATAATTTTCAAATTCAGTTTGTATTCGTTGTCGTTCATTTTCAACGTCGTTACATCGGGTTTGAGACTCCTGAATACAAAAAAAGTACAAATTTTCAATTTAAATAAAAAAAAGGCATTTTTACTCTAAATTTAAGTTCGAATTCAGCAAGTAAAGAACGTTGTTCATCAAGTGATTGTACAAGTTGTTGAATTTCTTGTTTATGTTGTTCATTTTGTTCTTCAAATCTTTTAAGTTCATCTTGTGCTATTTGTAATGAACATTCTAAAGATTTACTACGACTAATAGCATCTGCTCGTTCAAGTATCGCTTTTTCTAATTTTTCCTTCAAAATATAAAAATATTTATTCAACAAAAAAAAAGAATCTTTTTCTTTTACTTTTGATTCATTTTCAAATCTACAATGTGTTTGTTTTAATTGAACTATTTCTTGTGTTGGAGCATCTTCATTTGGATGCTTAAAAAGTAAATAAAAGAAGAAATGATTATCATATTCATTTTCAAGATAATTCATATCTACTTTAGTATGATAAATATGAATTTGATCTTCAAGTGCATTAATACGTGCTAGAAGACGATCCTCATCAATAATTGCTTGCCAACCTTCATTCGATGCTTGTTGTGTGTCACGTATTACACCTTGAAGATATTCTAATTTTTGTTCAAGCATTTGCTCACGATGCATAGCTTCCTAGACAGAAAAAAAAATATTGATAGAATTAAATATTTAAAGAAAAAGATAATTAAATTATACTTGAAGATACTGAGCTAATTGATATAAAGTTTGAGTATTGATATCAACGTCTTTTATTTGACCTAAAGATCGGTCGATAGGACTAAAAGCAAAAAATTGTATTAAATATTGAATAATTTAGAAAATTACCTTCGAGGTAGTGCTTCGTTACCATCACTATGATAGAGTTTAACTTCAATGATAATACAATTATGCGTAGCTGTAAAAAAAAAACGAGAGAACAGTTTTTCAAAAGTGATACAAAAGAAACATCCTACTTTTACGATTATTTTCAGTAACATCAACACCAAATTGAATAATATCACCAGAATAAATTTCAAATGGTAAACTTTCTTCATTGCATTTTCCCAATCGTTGATTATTAACAAATGTACCATTTGAACTTTTTGTATCTTGTAATAAAAACTATTAAAACAAATGATATTAAGAATTTATTAATTAATCAAGATATATATCGAGAAGTTATAGATAATTTCATAACAGATGTGTCGGTCATGACGTGACCAAGCCTGTTTCGTAGATGTAAAGTCTCTATGCAACATTTTCCTTGAGCAAGTTTAAATTTTTCAAAAAAATGAGTTTATTGATTATTAGCGATATGAACGATAAGTTCAAACACCAATTCTTAATGGTACAGGTCTTTGTTTTGGGATCCAGAAATGCTAGTAAAACAAAAAGTCTCGCTGTAGGACGTAAACAAGTTTCTGGAAAATCAAGTTTTCGAAGCCTGATCTTGCTGAAAATTTCACCATAGAGAAAACTTCTCGGACTTGTCTATCATAGGTTTAGAGAGTTATTTGTTAATTAAACTTTAATTAAGTAACTAACTATTCATGAAAAAAGAACTTGTTGAAAAAAACCAACCCTTATATAAGGAATCAAAGTAAAATCGAAAATGGTCATGTTCCATTTTTGCTGATTTTGTCTATATATACTTTACATTAAGACTTCTTTGGCGAGAAAACAATTTGAATTTGATTATAATAATTTTCTTCGAAACGCCATTACATAGTGTGTGTTATTCGAAAATTTGAGTTCTAGATTTTTAAATAATATGTATAGTTTTTCATGGATATGACTTGAATCGGTAATGTGCTGCTTTAAGATGGACGTCTCCTCAACTGATTATTCATTTTTTAGGCGGAACTATGTGCATCATGTAGATCCTAATGAGTTTTTAATATTCTGAGAAAAGTCCGGATTCTTAGCTTATTGCTTCTGAGAAGATGCTACATTTTTACGCTTCGTAATTCCCTTACAAAGACTCGGAAAATTCATTGTCGAAGTACAAGTCTTTTGATTTGCTTGTTTCCTGAAATAAACACATCGGATTTGCTTGTGTATATGACCAATGTATAAGACAAGCTTTAATCATAGTTTACATCGCAGGATAGAAACAGCGACATGATCCAAAACTATCACAATAAAATATTTTCATAGAGTTCTGGCTCTGTCGAAAGTTTTAAGTTGAAATTCGAAAATAGGTTTCCCTAGTATTTCTGAGAGAATCACTGGTCGTATGAGCACACAATGTTTCGACAGTAATTAACTAAAAGCACAAACTCTTCTCAAGGTATTCATAGCTCATTTGTGTCTATATGATGCACATAGTATTGACAAAAAAGCAATTAATCATTTGGTAGAGTTCCCTCGTGAGCTAAATCCAATGCATCCGATTAGATTAATCGAGTACTTTGCAATATCTTATTTCTTTTTTCAGTATGTACCCATTAATCGATGATTATTTTCATCCATAGAAATATTCTCATGAGAAATAATTCTATCAAATTCAAATGCAAGATTATATGCAGATTTGAATCAATATGACAAGTTAATTAATAAATCGAATTTCATAAGTCTATTGTTTAATCATACCTTTCCATTTTCATACCAAAGTTTAGCATGTTGACGTGACAGGACTTTACAATCAAAGATGGCATTATTTGGAAGAGCTTTAAGACGAGCAACAGCTCGGCCAACTTTGACTTGTTCATTTAGTGGAATGCAACGTTCTTGGAACGGATGCGAATTCGGTCGACAACGGAATACACAACAAGGAAAAGACATCTGAGTTGATGACGATATGCCAAGCGATTGATGGGATGACGATGGAGATAAACTTCCATTTGTATTCGTTGATGAATTTAATGATGATGGAGATGATGTATCTTCAATCATAGTTAAAGATAAATCACTCGGATAAATAGAACCATTTGTATTTTCAAAAAGAAAGCAGGATGTTGGTGATGATGAAGACGTATGATTATCCATTATCTAAATAAAGACCACATTAACTACATCTATTTATTTAATTAATTAAAAAAAAAGATTATTTACTTTATTTGATTAATAACCATTTGATAGAGGTAATAAGAAATAAAAAACGAGGATGAACATAAAGGAAGATTAAAGATGGCATTGAATATTTTTTGATACACTCCAAACAAAAAAAAATGATTTTTTCATCTTGAAAAGAAAAAAACAAATCAGTTCTTTCAACAAGTTATATAATTATATTCATAAAAAAAATCACGTAAACAATTAATAATCTGTAATAATCCCTTTCCCAAAGAAACAAAAGAAAAATAATAATAATCAAGAATTCATCAATAAAATATTATTAGGAGCCGATACTAATGATGAAATACTGTTTGTTTGCATAGATTTAAGACATTTTTTTGGAAATCGAAGTTGAACTGTTGGACAATATCGGGCACGTTCATGTACAACAGGAGCTTTTATCCATTGTTGTGTATCCAAATCAAAAAAATATCCTTCTTGCATCACAATAAAAGAATTTGAAGTATGAAAAACGGATATATAAATGCGTCGATTAACAGTACCAAGTGATTGTGGCCATGTTTTTGATATAGCACCAGGTATTGATGTTAATATGGTCCATTGATCAAAGTGAATATCATAACTTTCAATTGATAACATACCATTACCATCATCATCAAAACCTCCGATAGCTAAAATTAAAAAAAAATTTATTCATGCGTTAGATACTACAATTATTTTACCAAGAATTTTGTCATCAAATATATGAAATGCGTGTGTTGTACGAGCATTTAACATTGATGCACGTCGTTCTAATTGACGTTTATCGATTGAAAAGCAATAAAAATCAGCAATTTTTGACCTAGAAATATAATATAAGGCTTCTTAAAAAATATGTCAATTGTTATTTGTTTTAAATACTTTAAGTTACTCTATTAATTCAGTAATAAGTCATTAAAGAATGTTCTCTAAACCGAGAAATAGATTTCAATGGTTTTTCTACGATAAGATAACAATAGAGCGCTAGAAGATATTCTCTAGAGATCTGCGGAACAAACTTTTCTCAAGTACCAAATCTCATTTGTCTTCTGGAACGAGACTTTCTGGAATTCGGAACTATTCCACAAAACTCTAATATTCTCTTATGCTAGTTGACCATAGGGATCTATGAAGGTCATCCATTGTGTGATGGAAAAGACAAGCAACGATGGTTTCAAAATATAAGACTGAGAAAAACCTGATAATTCTAATTATAAGTTAGACAATAGTTGTTTGGAGTATAATTTCATAAATATAATCTCATTTTATAAAGACTTTGATGATTTAAGTCGTATAGGATAGAGTTAGGATGAGGAGACAACAGTAAACTTCATGAGACTTTAATGAACTTCACTGAACTCCAAGATGAACAAAGTTGAGCCTAAATATCTTTATTGACGATCGTCTAGGTTCATTTTAAATAATAACTAATTGTTATTGACGACGCTTTCCTAAGTTATTGTAATATTGATTTTGCAATTGATGACGTTCTCATTTTTCTTTCATGTTTTGTTAAAATCTACATACCATTGTCCATTTTTTCCACCACCTAAATAAATTGAATTATTATATGTACATGCGGCAAGTGATGAAAGTTGTGGGCCATCTGCTGAAAATGATTCCCACTGATCATTTTCAATAGAATATCGTTCGATTGTATTGACATAAATACGTGTCGTTCGTTTAAATCCTTCAAAGCCACCCATACTAGATAAAATTTTCTTAGTATGAAAAATATTTCGATGATTCTTCTACATACATATAAATATATTTATCTATATGAACAGCAGCAAAACGTGATCGATCATGCAATAGATTTTGTAATTTAGTCCATTCACATGTACGTGCGGAAAAACGATAACATGATTTATATTCTTCTGATGATGATCGACGTGTACCCAATACATATAAATAATTATTGACTGTTATGGCACTAAATGGATACTAAAAATAAAAAATAATCAATAAATTATTTTCTTGCTTGAACAAATACATGATTTTGATTATTAATTATCGTTAGAAAAAAAAAATCTGCCAATCATTTAAGATTATGATATTTGCATGCTCTATATTCTAAAATTAGACTGTCATCTTGTTTTCAAGCATGACATAAGATCTGTAGAACAATATTTTTCATGAAATTTTTTACGGTAATTCTCATGATAATAAAACAGTGATTTGTTGAATCAATTTGAATAATTCTTAAATTTAGATTCTTTTATTAACGATCTCGAAATCTAACGATAATATTTTCCTGTACAATGGCTGATTTATATATCGAAGATCAGCTAAAGTCTGATATAAATAGTTTGATTACTTGATGAAAATTTTACATTTTAGTATTTTTTTATCAAGTAAAAATGGAAAAAAGAAATATCATCATTATTAAAAGATCATAAATTCGAGAATGATTAAAGTGTTACATTAGGCGTAGTAGCGGTGCCAGAATTTTTCATCAGGGTGGGCTGAGCCCAGCCCAGCCCACCCCTGGCGCCGCCACTAATTAGGCGCTGACATATATGAGAAATGGATCATCTTTTACAGTTGCCAACAGAACATCAAGCAAGAATATAAAAGCAAGACAGTGATTTATTCATGATTAATATGTATAGCAGTGTATTATAATGACTTCGTTTATGAGATAATGTCAAGCGGACATACAATATAGATGACATGATGATTGCTCTTATTCTTCACTCAAAATATCTTAATTCAGTTTATTGTTTAATGCTCACGTTTCTAGCCATAATATATTTAGATCTATATTTTAATACTAAATATACTTGAATAAATTATTCATACCGGATAATTTTCTTCTAATGGTGCTTGACAAAGTGTTTCCCATCTATCTAATGTTGTATTCAATGTAAATAATTCTATTTCTCCAATAGCAACTAAGATTGGTTCATTTCTTATCTGACACTGTATATTGTTCAATAAAGGTTGTCGATTAGGTGATGCATAATAACATAGTGCATCTTCAACTAATTTTCTTGATTGTTCATTTATGTTAATAAGTTCATGCTTACGTACATGATCACATAACTGTTCAGGTGTCATTAACATAAAACGAATAAGTTTAAGTAAGTCAATAGCATATTTTTCTCTTTCAATACGATTTGCTTCAATCCATGTACATGCCATAACAAATAAATCATATTCATTATATGTATTCATTTCTAATGTATCACATGATAATTCTTGATATATTTGTTCATATGTTAATTGTTCAAATTGTTCAGGTGCATGAAACATAAGTGAAAGGAAATTTTTTGATATAAATAAATGTACTATATCTAAGACATTTGTTAATGAATAAAAATCAGCTATTTTATATATATCAATACAATTATTTATTGAGCATGATTCAATAAGAAATTGTGAGCATAAATCAATAGCATGTTTTATTTGTAAATGTGTTGCTGCATTTAATAATTGATCAATATTATCAAATGTTATTTGAAGTGAACCCGAATAACAAAAGTTAATCATTGATTCAACACCATGAGATGAATTTTCAAAACCTTTTAATTCAACATGATTTGATTGACTTTCATTCATATTACCTTGATATATATATATATGAAAAAACAAATTCTTAAATAAAAAAGACAATAAATAAAATTTAGTACAAACCATTAAACATAGCTTTAAAATAATCTGATGTTGCTATTAGTAAAAATTTATGACATAAAAATTGTTTATTATTAATATCAATACGAAAATCACATAGTTCAACTTTATCACGCATTAAAGAAAGTTTAGCAAGTATATTTTTAGCATAATTTGATATGGTATTTAGACTTGTTCTTGCTGAAGTTGCATTATCAAATAATAGTATATCATTATTAAATATCTGTAATAAATATTTCGATCATATATAATTAAAATATGAATAAATTCTTACACGATATTGTTCACAGTTTTGATAATTCATCAATTTTCTACAAGAAAATAAAAATTATGCTTATATGACAAAGTAGCTAGCATTTGTTTTAATTCTAATAATCATATTCACTATTGGTGTTACAAGATGGAGATCAGAGAGAATGAGTCTTTCAACCAACAGTTGAGTTCCGCTTAAAAAAAAAGCTGGAACTCCTCCTTCTAGAAGCGTTGATAGACAATCTCCGCCCTTTTTACAAACATTGTCAGGAAGCTGAGCTCCTTCAACAACCTGTTCTGCATACGTCACTAGTATTCACAAGAGAATATATCATGAAAATTATCATATTCAAAATTAAGTACCTGTATTTTGTCTCCATACAACACGGACAAAAGTCAATATTATCAGAATTCTATGTTGAACATTTTTTTTTATTGCATTCCACCAACTAAAACACCGTATTCAATTAAAACAAAAATTCCGAAATTTTCTAATTTACACTTACTTAAATTAATTGACCGAACATATTATTCCGATCAATCTAAAACAATTATCCTATCTGAAATAAACAATAGCAGACACAAAATTTTATTTCATATCAAAATACTCAATACAAAAAAAAATAGGTGATCATTCAGCATTTTGCCGATTAGCAATAGCTTGTTTAACTCTATCTTCTAACATGTCCATTTCAAAAATAAGATCTTTTATTGCATTTTCCATAGCATTTATTGGTGAATATTCATGTCCAGCTGTTTGTACACGTAAAATAACTTTATGTTCAAGTGGATGTGGAATTTTATAACCAGTAAATATAACTTCAGGATCTTTTAATAATTGTGCACGAAGCATATTTGCTAATGTATGATCTTCTTTACTAATTGTAAATACAACTGCATTCGGTACTTTTGTATCTTTTTCAACAATTATTTTCTTTTCACCATCTAATAATAAAAATGATTCAAAAGTTGCTGGTGCATTCATCTATAAATGAAATAAAGATAAATGTAACTCTTCAAAATACATTAATATAATCTTTGTTTTTTTTTTTCTTCTGAACAGCTAAAATTTAGAATAAGAAGGTTATTATAGACACACAATAGAAACGGAAGAAAAAAGGTTTTCTATGCATCACTAAAATATTCGAAAACACAAACAAACAAAAAATTACAAATCAGTTTTTATTGTTCCATTGAGTAACATAATATATTCCGAAAGAAGTATTATCGGTGGAACGAATGTATTACGACGATTTTCAACTTGAATATACCTTTCACCATCTTGAGTAAAACCTTTCAAAAAAAAATACAAATTATCTTTTATGTATGAATAAAACAAATATTGATTTCTACTTTTTGAAATCAAATTTAAATATTGACAAACAGCATGAAGTAACATACGATCGAAACCATTATTTAAGTCTCGTAAATAAACGGAATCAGAATGTTCCTTGAAAAACGGTATTACATCATCTTCAAAACAGCTTATACGATCCTAAATATATTCAGTTCCTTTTTTTGTCTTTTATAAGCATGCAAATTAAAATATTTACTAATGGTAAATGATGTCGTTTCAGCATACTTTTTAATGTATAACGAATATTCGGATCAATACGACGAAAACATTTATCAGCTTCTTCTGAAAAAAAAAGGAAAAAATTTTTATCAATTAAAGAATAATGGATGATTGAAAAGTATTAGCGTTCGTTTTTATGCGCGAACACTAACCGTGTTCTTCGCTCCTCTTTCTAAATGCACTGAAACATATGAATATATGGAATACAGAAAGAAACGAAAGACTAGATATCGATGAGAAAGAAATATATAAACGACAATAGATATAGATCAATAGATGAGCTGTAGATGGGAGACATACACTATGACAAAAAGCTTTTAAACAAGATGTTTGTTCACTTCTCGAATATAGGCTTAGAAATTTTATCTTCAAGAGTAGTGAAATAATCTTCGAAAAACTCAAACAATTTTCTTTGTTTTTTGACTATTGCAATTCGAAACTAACTTGTGATATTTATTTATATCTCAACTTGTAGATCAGAATGTCCGCTGCAAAATGCATTATTTGAAGTTTTTTTTTGTCTTTTCACAAAGCACTTCAATCTTTATTTCCCTCAAATACTCATTTTGAAAAAACGACAACCGATTTACGTTGACAGGAGCTCTTAAAAATAATGCCTGTAGCTTCTTTTGGATACAATCTATATATTATGAAGAAACCTCTATCGGTGCCTCTTTCCAATGTCAATGATTTTTTGCCTATAAATACTACATAAGGTCGTAAAACAAACCTCAAAGCGATTTGAGTTCCTATCGATACTTGACTAATCTAGCAAATTTTTTTCTAGAAGTCTTAGATTTTTGGAAAATTTGTATTTACCAATTGTGATCTGGAACTTCGTGCATATAGTTCAGTAGATTAGCTTTCTTTAAAACATGCACAAGTTTTGAATTAAGTCTATTCGTGATTTCTAAATTTTTTTATGAAAGTTAGTCAAAACAATATGTAGTATCTATGGGCAAAAAATTATTGAAACTGGAAGGGAGTAGATGAAGAAGTTCACTTGTTAGTTCAATCTCGCATTTTGTAGAGAAGTGTTCATCCTACAAAAATCTTATTAAAAATAATTTTTCAGATCTTTCAAAAAGTCCCTCACTACTCATAAACAAAAATAGGTACAATATTTCTAAGCAAGCCAAAATGAATAAACATCTTGTTTAAAAATTTTCCAGTCATCTATAGATTAAAATACCTTGTTGGTGTAATGGATGAATAGATTCATTATTATTCATTGTTGTATGATTTTCAATAAGAACGAATGTTTCGAAATTGTCATCACTACTGCAACTAATTGATGTTGAATCATTGTTAAATCGTTGTTTATTTTTTTCTTGACGAAATTTTCTTGCTTTCTTTTTATTTGTTGCCATTTTAACAATATGTTCTTGTTGACTTTCAGGTAATTCGATAAACTCATTCCAAATCTAATTAATAGATAAATAGAACAATATTTAAGAAAAAGAAACATTTAAATTAACTAAACATGTGACATTCTCTAATTGTAAATTGAGTGCATCATTTTTTCGATAAAAATTTTGTTGATGAGCCAAAACGAAGTTTATTCTACTTACACTAACTGATAAATGAAAACAATAAAACAGCATAACTCCTTTTATTTTGTATATTTTTTTTTTTTTTTTGAAAGGAATTAATCCGCATGGATTTCCATAATTCGATAGATTTATTTTCGTTCTATCCAGAGGCGAATGCTCAATAAAATGAGCTGCTGTGTTTTCTTATTAAAATTTTTAAAAGAACAAAACCCTTGATTAGAGAGAACCTCTAGGTAAGGGAAAGATAAACTATAATGGGTAAAAAATAATGATAATAATTAATATTGTCTATCTGAAATAACAAATTTTTACCTTCATTTTATTTTTACTTAATAAAAGTTGTGCAAATGCTGATATTGTTGTTTCAACAAGATCATTTATATTCACTTCAGCAAAATCTTCGTCTAAATCTTTTGCAAGATTAAGTAAAAAACACACTAAAATTAACAACGATGATTTAAATTAGAATTTCATAATAATAAACAAACTATTTTCATGTCGTCTTGCTTGTCGATGTCCTTGAGATTTCTTACTACCAATATTTTTTATTTGTAATATTGGTTTTGGAATTTTTGATGTCGACTTTTTTATCTTAGGTGTTCGATTAGATGTTGTAAGTGGAACAACCGTAATAGTTGGTGGAGCTGGTACAAATGTACTTTCATGTGTTTCTTCATCCTCACTTGATGATGGTGAAGCACTAAGAAAATTAAAAAACAAAAGATATCAGATTATGTATTTTATCAATAGACAGAATTATTTACTTGAGATGATTTGTATTAACCAAAGTATCAATATGCGAAATAGCATTGACATGTTCATTTTCATGTCCATCACCTTCGAAATTTTTAAGAATACCCATCTTATATCAATAGATCGTTTTGTACTTCTAGAATAAATGGAAAAAAATGATGCAAAAATAGGAAAAAACAGAGTATTTATTTATGAGAATGAAAATACAAAATTACGCAAGAATAACATAGACAAAATATAAATCCAAAAAGGAGGTTAAAAAGAAAGTCATTTATTTGATTTGTTGTTCGATGAATACGTTTTAATCATCAACTAATTGATGACAAGAAACAGAAGTAGGTAAACAAATACAAACAAACAAGTGACGATAAGGATTGTATGTTAAGTATGGAATCATAAATACAACGTCATCTATCGTTTACTGATTTCTATTGTCGCTCGTTGACGGTCAATTCAAGGCAATGAAAAAAAAGATTATTACTATCGCAGGGATTTAGTGAAAAGAGAAAAGTGGGAGACGCAAGAAAATTGCTTTTAGAGAACAAATTGTCAGAATATAAGGTAATTTCTTAACAAGTGTAATAAAGTTTGTCATTGATGAAACCAGGTTGATTTCTATCTAAAGGTGTTATTTTATTTGCGAAACTCACCAACAGAAGCGAGCAAAACACACTATAAACATGTTTCGCTACAAAACTATATAAAAAATAATGATGGTTTCTGAACATATTGTCTTGATTCGTAGTCCTGTGTATTTCATATTCTCTATTGATTACTATATAATTGAAAAATATAGTTTTACATCAAGATTTGGTTTGAAACGACAAGTGATGTTTTTCTAGAACAAAAAGGTTAAGTCTACAGCCTGGAAAAATCAGAATAGGATTAAATAATTTGTTATCAAACAGCAATCGAATCAGCAAAAGTCCGAACCTCATTTTATCTGATATCATGTAAGACAAAAATATTTTAAAACCCCTCATATCCGCAAAATATTCAATAGTGTCACGTTTCAAGGAAATCTCCATAAAAAGTCAGAAAATTTTAAAAAAACCAACAGAATTTGAACTATAGATAGGAAGTCCTTCTATCTGAAGCACATATCAAAATTAAAATTACACTGAAGCAGAACATCGTTTTCATATATACTTTAAAATTTTTTGCAACGATGATGGTTTTTAATTAATTTTATCTTACATAGTACTAAATAGAAAGACGTCGGAAGTTCTGCGTTTCCCGATTGTGGAAAACCTCAAGTCGATAGCTGTTGTCGTTGTTGAGTAATTGAGCTGACACTCACTCTTCTTTAATTCTGACGTGGAGATTAGGTATGAGAAATTACGAGTGAGTAATAACTTTATAGAAAGAATCACAGACATCGAGTCGGTGCTTACAAAAAATTGAACTGGCACATCTTTATAAGCAGTTCATGATAAATGTCACAGAGTTGTAACCGGTCGGAAATTTTTATTCCGGTCCGGTCCGGCCGGCCCCAGTTTTTAGATTGGTCCGATCCGACTGGCGACCGGTCGGTCTAAAAAACTTTTCAGACCGGTAAGAACCGACAAAAATGGACCTGTTTGTTTGCGTATTTACTGGCGGTTATAAGGAGAGGCTTCAAAAAAGACTTATTTTCGTATTTTTTGCTCAGGTTTTTATTGATCTTCAAGAGGAAATATGATGTTATAGTCGGTTATATCTGTCAATTTTCCTAAAGATGAATATGCGATGTTCCTTTTGTGAGAAAAAAAATTTATGTACCCGACACTTGATTGCTAATCTGCAAATCTTGAGTTTTTTCACTTGAGTTTTACAGAAAAAACCTATATTTCTATTTAAACGACGATTCAACCTTAAATTTAGCCTCTAACAAACCATCAATAAGATAAGTTGAGAGCTTTATTCCAAGTAACACAGTTTTAATTGTGCTTTTTATGAAATGAAACAAACTTTGATTAAAAAAAATAAAAAAGTTTAGACAAACAGTAGTAAATAAAAACCGATGATTTTTGAAACAATACGATTATTTTGATAAAATAACTGAAACTTGCTCTTGATATATTTTACTCAGAAAAAATTGTATATCAAGAAAATTCTGAAAGTCATTTTTTGACCAAAAGCTGAGGGGACCAGGGGTATTTTTCTCGATTGAAAAATTTCTTTAAACCGGTAAAAACCGGCCTGTCCAACCATTTTAACCGGACCGGTGACAACTCTGAAATACCATCGTATATGTTAGCGTCCAATCTAAGATTCATCTGAAAATTTTACGTGAATCTCACATTGTCTTAGGCTAATGACGGATCCAAATGTTAATACGATCAATCTCAAATCAATTACTACTAGAATATTACATTTCGAGATAAGAATAAACTTTTTACGTTTTTGAAGAAGGTTCCAGCATAAATAGAAATTCAATTTCATCCACGTTTTTCGACTTTACTTTTTATTTCATGCATTCTTTGGACTTGACCAAAACCTTCATGCAGAATACAATATCCATAGTATCAGTATATTCATTTTCAATCATTTGTTTGACCTTTTTCTTAAACTCACTCTTAGGAAACAGATTCAATGTGTAAATAGAATTATGAATAAAAACCAGTTCTTAGCAAGATAGAACACATTGAATCTGACGCATCTCTTATTTTTACTACGTAGATAATACGCTCATATTTTTATTACGGTTCTAGTTCCAAAAAATTTAAAGCGGTCTGTTTCAATTTTTTTGAACTACCCCACTCTACTAACAACAGCGGAACTGCTTTTATTAGTGTTTAATAATACTCTTCGACAGAATTCGATAGAATTGTACTATAGCAACATGACATTGGTCTCTAATTATACTGTTGGCACGTTTATCTTGTCGTGAAATTAAATATTGAAAAGAAGCTTTTTGTACAATTTATTGCATAAAATCGAACAATTGTTTAGCAAATTAGTCTAATTTATATTAATAAATCGACTCAGACAGAGTTTAGTTTATTTTACGCAATATATCTTGAATACTGTTATATTTAATAAAAGATCAATTTTAGTTTTCTTTAGTGAGGTTTAATCACTAATGATATCATGAATATCGAGGAAACGAAGGACCAGGATACCAAGGAACTCTTTTCATAGGTATTAATGGATTTCTATCAACTGAATAATCATTTCTTCGCATGCCATATCGACCATTGAACTGTTTGTGGAAATGTTTGAGTTGTGGTTGCGTATGTTGAGCACCATGCTGGCCATTCCACTGTTTGTGGAAATGCTTGAGTTGTGGTTGTGTATGTTGAGCATCATACTGGCCATTCCACTGTTTGTGATGTTTGAGTTGTGGTTGCGTATGTTGAGCACCATGCTGACCATTCCACTGTTTGTGGAAATGCTTGAGTTGTGGTTGTGTATGTTGAGCATCATGTTGGCCATTCCACTGTTTGTGGAAATGTTTGAGTTGCGGCTGTGGTTGTGGATATTTAGCAGGAAGTGATTTTGCTCGTTTCCTATGTAATGATTCTAAATGCACATTCAAAATGAGTATATCCACAATGTGTTCATAGAAAGCGACTTACGAACAACAGGTCTTCTATGCATATCTTGAAATGGCATCAACGCATTGTATGTGTTAGGCGCAGCTAGATAGATTGCTTCATTACAACTACTATATCGGTAAGGTATTTGTTCACTTTTGGATTCTCTTTCAACGTTTCTAGCAACACATTTCAAAAGAGTTTCAATGTCGACATTTGGTGTTAAGATATAATGAAGTAAATGAGAAGTATATAAACTATTTCGACCATCAATTGAAGCAGCTGAAGCTACATCATTTGCTGCACAAGCATAAACAATAATTGTTGCTGGTGGGGCTTGCATTGGTGCAAGACCTGCGCTCATTCCAGCCAAGGCTCTACCGTAAGGACTCATCTCGTCAATTGGCTCTGTCGGTGCATCGGTTCGACAACAATCAAGAATACATATTACAACTCGTGGACGTCTTTTGTGCATCGAACTAATGAGTTTCTGAGCATCGATTGCAGTCGAGTTGATATTACCAGCCCAAATTCCAACAGCATTCGTTGGAATTAAATAATTGTTACCATCGAATTGACAAGCATGACCAGAGAAATAGAATACAACAATAGCACCTGGTTGAATCGAATGGACAAATTGATCAGTCACGGATTTCATCGATTTATAGCCAAGATTTTTCGCAAAATGTGCCCGAAATCCAAGTAAACGTAAAGCCTGAGTTATATCACCTGCATCATTTAGGCAGGGTTCTAAGATGAAACGTCGTGGCACATAGTCGTTAATACCAATAGATAAAGCTTGTTTTGCAAGCATGCTTATTTTCGTCACAAGTTTGAAGTAAAATCGTTGTCGAATTTTTCTACAAAACTATTTTAAAAAGCATATCGAAGTTTGATACTTTTGTATTAAAATTCTCAATTTAAAGTCAAATTTACGTAGTTAGATATTAGTTTCATGATACATATGGATGAAAAGTGTTAGATTTAAAACATGGTAGAAGGGTCCTTTCTTTGTCTACACGAAAAGTGAAACAATTAAATGATCAATTTTCAATTAAAAGATGTCATGAATTACAAACCAATACTGGAATTTCTTATAGTTGAAGTTGTACACTAACTGAATTTTAATGATAGTCAGAGAAAAATAAATGGTTTTCTTTTGCACACACTCTGGCTGCATAGCAGAAGGTATAAATATGTTGAAATTTATTAGTAATTTAGCGAATTATTAGTATATTACTCATATATTTGATTGATTGAGCGATAAAGAAGACCTTAGAAGAGCAATGTTTTGAATGTGTAAAATGGAAGAGCTATAATGATGTAATTATTGATTGTGATGATGATTCTTATCATGATAAAATTAGTGATTGATTAAAAATCGAATCGATGAGACTTGTTGTTGAAAAACGGTCTAATAAGAAAGTGATTGACTTTTTTCTAAACGACTATTTTTTCTTATAGCTGAAATCAATAAAAGAACGGGCGCTCAGGTGAAGAAATTCATTAAGGAAGACGCTACGGACTGGTCGTACAGCAAAATGAATATGGTATTTTTTAGTTTTCGTTCTTCCTACATTTTTCTTTTCATTAATTTATCATGTGTGTCGATCAGAAAACATACTAGACTGATTCATTTTTTTAAAGTAAAAATCAAGAAACATGTTTACTCTTTATTGATACACTGGATGGTTTTTATTTTCGTCAACGAAAGAGACGAATAACAAATTTATGCTGGTATATGTTTAATTGACTAAAGTTTTTTTATTAGAAATATCTGTATGAAATTAATTTTACTAATGAATTTTTGATTTTATATATTTTGATTTTATTTTTAATTTCTTTTTACTGTCAAAATACCAGGATTTGACACTTCAAAGTACCAGCGTTGCTGATTAAGCGGTTCCTTCACTTTCTAATCTAAACGGTAGTAATATACTCACTGTACATCAATTTTAGTTCAATCATATAAGACGAAACCACAAACAACAAGAAAAAACCTACCTAAAAAGTGGTTTTGTTTTCAAAGGTGTTATAAGAAAAATGGAGAAAAAGGTAAATTTCCAATGCAGTGAAGGAATTTGTCAAAGAGGAGGATACACAAATTTACTAGTAGCTTATAAAAATTAAGAGTATTTACTATTACTTATCATAAAGCAAAAATAGATTCATTAGAAGTTACGAAACTTCTTGAAATACTTATGAGAAATTTCTGAGTGAATTATGAAATTACTTAGTCGCCATGAAGCTATTTCCAGATGACTTTGACCATTATCACACTCTTAGGAATGGTATTACTTTGGTCGAAAGAAAAATTATCGAAGAAAAAAGTTGCGAAAAAAAAAAGTCGAAAAAAGTTTTGTTTTGAGAAAGTACATGCACAAGACAATAAGTTTCTTTACGTGGATACGTGTGGGTTAGCGACGAAACCAGTACATAAATGTTCCTCTTTCTTTTTACAGTGAAGTGTGTAGGTGTGGATATCAGTCTTCATCTGGCACCTACTCCAACATTCACACCCATCCTTTTTATCGATGATTATCCTTCACTATATTGATAATAGAGGTGATTTCATTCATGTAACCTTGATTTCTGTTGTTATACAGAGAATTCCTCTTAGTAATGTATGATAATGAATATTTTTATTAAAAATTAACTGCTAACTTTATTCGACATGAATAAAACAGGTTTAAAAAAATGAGGCGGCATGCAATTTCATATAGTTAAATGAGAACAAAATAGAAAAACAAAGAAAAAAATTTAGAAAAAACGTTCATATATTCAAATGGATGTAGTAAATGGGATTTTTCTCTGAAGTCACTCCAAGCATATTCGTTTTTGTTAATAAATCAAATATCTAAAACTGACGAAGTAGTCGTCCTAAAGAAGCAAGATAAGTTTTTCAACTTTATATTAGTCTAGGATAAAAAAAAAACATCTTTTGATGCAAATGCACGCGAATGCGAAGATCTGTACGATCGTTTTCTAGAAACCTTTCAATTTACAATTGGCCTAGACTAATCTGAGAGTCGTCTAAAATTTTCAGGAGAATCTTAGATTGAACATATTGTAACTGATCAATTCAAGAATAATCTGAATTAATGTCCATCCAATGTCAAACCCTAAATTGATCTAGGCGGTTCTGAGATTGAATCCTAACACATACGCATTAGATGATGAATTCAGTATGAATTCTACATGAGTGAGTGTAATTATTCACTTAAGATTTCTTATTAACTCACTTCTAAGAACGAATTGAATGTCTCAATAGATCTATATTGAAAAATTCATTCTTAACAAGATAGTATACATTGAGTTTGATTTATCTCTTATTTTTACTAGATAATACGCTCCTGTTATCGCCTAACAAATAGAGTTCGATAGCTCCAAAAATTACTCGCAATTAAAACATGAGATCCATACAAAAATCTTTAATACATTCTGAGAAATTTTATTTATTGAATGGTTAAGACTAAAGATACCACATATTTCAGTACTTAAACAAAATAATATTATACATAGATACTGCAATCTTTAATTTCAACAATGAATAAATGAAGATTGCTCGATATAGACTTAAGAATTTTTTGTATCTATCTGATAATGTAATGGTTTCGGTTTCTTTGAAGGTTTCAAAGTATTTTTTCCACGGTTCCGCTGCCAAGGAATTTTCAAAAGTCGGTTCCACTAGTTTGGAACTGCCAAACTTTATAACGACAGTGAAAATTTAGGACTAACTATGCATTCTTAGCACTATTATTAGGGTACACTTCAGGGTTGTCAGATCTTCCGACATCACAGGAAAAATTCCGAATTTTGACATTTTTAAAAAAATAATATTTTCTCTTCCTGAATAATTATTTTATTTAAAATTCAATAATCAATCCTACAATAAAAATACTAAGTAAATTTAATTTCAACTTCACGTTAAACATAAAAATTAAAATTGAAATTGAATTATAAATAAATATATAAATAATTTAAATGAATAATTATAAATATTTATGAATAAATAAGTAAAAATAGAATTCTTGTTGGCGTTTCGGTCAGAATTGACTTTCTTCAGAACTTTGATGTTTCTTACAATTGACGTTTTATTTCACTATACATAATGATGATAGTGGTACGGATGAGAAAATCTAAGTGTCCTACCAGTATGACCGTCTGTCCTATCCGCACGATGATCATCAAAGGAAAAGAAAGAAAAAGAAAAAACAAAAGAATTTATGCATAGTCAAATAAAACGTCAATTGTAAAAAACATCAAAGTTCTGAAGAAGGTCAATTCTGACCGAAACGTCAACAAGAATTCTATTTTTACTTATTTATTCATAAATATTTATTTATTATTCTATTTCAATTTTTATTTTTATGTTTAACGTGAAGTTGAAATTAAATTTACTTCGTATTTTTATTGTATGATTGATTATTGAATTGTAAATAAAATAATTATTTAAGAAGAGAAAATATTATTTTTAAATTTAACGTGCCCTTCCTTAACAGATCTCAATTTGACATTTTTTCTGACTGTTTTCCGGCGTTCCGAATTCTTCCGAATTTTTAGTTTTATTTCGAAGCTTTCCGAAATGTGTTATTTATCTAGATTCCAGCTTTTATGAGTTTTATTATAAATTTTAATTTAATTTTTACCGGCAATTAATGCACTATCGTTGTTCTATTGTAATGATTAAACAGCACAGAGTTTTAAATTCACTAAAAGTACACGTTCTCATGAATCTAAAACATTTCCGAACTGAACTAGACACCTTCTATAGTGAAAAAAGCCATTTGAATAACCTATTTCTTCAACGTGAACTGAATTCATAGTTTCAGAAGGCGCGCTTTTTCACATGATAATTCTCACATGTCAAACTGAATTAGATTCAGCCATGAATGATGAATTTCAGGGTTCTAATGTTAATATAAACGAGATTAAAGAAGAAACAAAAACTATATCAGTAATAGCTTTCACAGAAAATGATGATAGAAGAAAACATACTTAAAAAAACGGTGATTATGCATGTAAACGTCAAAAAATGCCTTCCAAATTGTTTTCCGTGATAGTATGAAAAAAATTCCAATTTTTCCAATTGCTTTATTGCAAAATGCCGATTTACAATTTTTCAATCTGACAACCCTGGTACGCTTATAGTTTCATGAAATTAGATGTTGACAAAAGTTTCTCATATTGCTAGTTTTACGAAACCGAACAGTCAGTTAGATATTAGTCTGGTTTCTTTTAATAAATTGATTTAGATAGAGTTTTGTTTATTTTAAACAATATATGTTGAATCCTAGTGTATTTAACAAAAGGTCAGATTTTGTTTCCCTCAGCGACGTCTAATCATTGATGATACCATATATTGCGAGAGAGTGGATGGCCAGACTGTCGAAGAACTCTTGCCATAGGTAACACTGGATTTCTATCAACTAGATGATGGTTCATTTGCATGTCATATCGACCATTCAAGTGATTGTAGAAGTATTTGAGCTTCGGTTGAGGATATTTAGCAAGGAATGATTTTGCTTGCTTCCTACGTAATGATTCTAAATGCGCATTCAAAGTGACTATAGCCACGATGTATTCATAGAAAGTGACTTACAGACAACATGTCTTCTATGCATATGTTGATGTCGCATCAGCACATTGTTTATGTTTTTCGTCGCAAGATAGACTACTTCGTTACAACTCCTATATCGACAAAGTATTTGTTTATTTCCAGATTCTTCTTCAACGTCTTTAGCAGCACATTTCAAAAGAATTCCAATGTCAACATTTAGTATTAAGATCGAACGAAGTGAACGAGAAGTATATAAACTATTTCGCCCATTACTTGAATTAGCTGAAGTTACATCATTTGCTGCACAACCATAGGCAATGATTGTTGCAGGTGGAGCTTCCATTGGTGCAAGAGTTGTTTTCATTCCAACTAGAGCTCTAGTGAAGGGATTGATTGTGTCAATAGGTCGTGACGGTGCATCCGCTCAACAACAATCGAGGATACGGTACAAGGACAATTCGTCGCAATAACATAATCCAATCATAATTTATCTTGTTTTCAATAATGAAGCGACTCATTCGATCAAGTTTACAACATGTAATCTGATGGCTATAAAAGTTATTGGAAATAGTACTAAAGGCTAAACTTTGATTCTTTTTTATCTCGAATAGTCCGATAATCTTCTTGTTCAGATAATAAGTTAGTTAATACGAGCTATACAAGTAGAAAAGTTTTTCCTATACTAGTGGAAACGACACTGCATTTTTCTCGTAATTCACGCTGCTGTTTAAGACTTCTGACAACGGGAAAATATTTTGCAAGTACTAGTGAAATTTAGCATTTCCTGAAAAACAGCTTTGACCTCATCACAAAAATACTTTTAATGAATTCTGGTTTTCAAACTTTCACATTTGACGTGCAAATTCTGTTAGTTTCTGAACCATCGTCCGTTGTATTATATGTTTAAAACTACACTAGTCGGATTCAGTCGATGATTCATACAATACAAGAAATAGTTTTGACGATACCTTGTACTCGAAGATTTTTACATAGTGTTGACATCAATTATGAAATAGGAAATGGACCCAATCATTTGACTTCCTAGAATTCTTGATAGTGTGGTAATAGCACGAGATAAAAAAAAAACGAAGTTTAGCCTTTAGTAATATTTTCGATAACTTTTATAGTCATTAGATTACACGTTGCAAACTTGATCGAATAAGTCGCTTCATTATTGAAAAAAAGATAAATTATGATTGGATTATGTTATTGTGACGAATTATCCGGTCATCCGAGGATACGCATTATGAGTCTTGGATGTTTGCTATCCATCGCACTAATAAGATTTTGAGCATCAATTGCAGTCGAATTGACATTGCCAGTCCAAATTTCATCAGCATTCATTGGAATTAAATAATTGTTATCATTAAATTGACAAGCATGGCCAGAGAAATAGAGTATAACAATAACATCTGGTTGAATCGAATTGACAAATTGATCAGTCATGGATTTCATCGATTTATAGCTAAGATCTTTCACAAAATGCACCTGAAATCCGAGTGAAGATAAAGCCTGAGATACATTACCTACATCATTAAGGCAAGGTTCTAAGGCCAAACGTCGTGGCATTTAGTGGTTAATATCAATAGATAAAGCTTGCTTTACAAGCACAATTATTTTCGTCATGAATTTAAATAAAAATTGTAGTCGAACTTTTTTATAACAAAGCAAAAAAATATATATCAAATATTGATATGTTTGTATTAAAATTTTCAATAAAAGTCAAATTTACGTAGTTCAATATTGGTTTCATGGTACGTGTAGATGACAAATCTTAGATTCAAAGAATGGTGGAAAAATTCTTTCTATATCTATACGAAAAATCTTACGATTTTCGGTTCTTGTCAACTGAGAGTATGTTTACTGTATCCAAATCATTTTTTCAATAAATGAATGCAAGAGAATAGTTAAATATATAGAGTAATAGAGAATTTCAAGTTCTATCACACATTATGTTTACTTTTCTAAAATGTTGTTTCTATAGTAATGAAAAATTGAAAAAACTAATTTTGATGATAGTGGCAAAATCAAGCCCTTAGGAACTTAGTGATAAAAGTGCGTTGATTGCACTCGATTTATTTTAGTAGCGCGCAAATGCAAGCTAAAACATAAATATACATGGTAATAAAAAAACTCCAAGTGTTTTCAGGATACATACTTTTTTTTAAATGTTTTTATAACGATAATATATTCAAAATACAGGTTGCAACTATTTATTTCTAGGAATATATATAGGTTCATTCACAATTTAGCGGACTATTAATTTTTTACACAAATAGTTGATTGATCAAGCGACACTTGACAAGAGTAATATTTTAAAAGTGCTATTTTCGATTTGGTAAACGGAAGAACTATAATCATTGAATTATTCATTGTCATGATTGCTATCGGTATGAGAACGGCACTGGTTGATGCCCAAGTGAAGTGACTAATTGTCGAAAAATGGTTTAATAAGAAAGTAACTGATTTTTTCCTAGAGGATTGTTTTCTTTTCATAGTAGAAGTTAATTAAATAACAAGTTCTCAGGTTAAATTACCAAATAAGGAAGATGGTGCCGACTAGGCTACAACAAAATGGATATGATATTTTTTAGTTTTTGTTCTTCTTGCACTTTTCTTCTCATTAATTTATCATATGTGTCGATCAGAAAAGATATTAGATTGAATCATTATTGCATGGTAAAAACCAAGAGACATGTTCACTTTCTCTTGCTACACTGGTAGTGATTCTCAATGTCAAGCCAAGAAATGAAATTGGTGCATCCCTGTACAATGGTGTGATATTTCTCTTTTTAAACGAAAGAGACGAAAGAAACATTCATAGTGATGCATGCGTTTTAATGGTTAAATTGTCACGAATGTGGCAAGATATTGATTAGAAATACTTGAATGAAACTAATTTTATTGATGAGTTTTTCGTCTTGTTGTACTGAATAGATTATATATGTTCGCAATAAGAAAAAAAATATAACGAATATATATTTGTGCCTGTAATCAATCATTTTTAGTGATGAAATACTGAAATTTGATACTGCAAAGTACAAACATAGATACCCAATGTTGCTGATATCGTGTCTCTTTCGCTTTATCATCTAAAAGATAGCCATATACTCATTGCACATCAATTTCAATTCAATCACATTAGACGAAATAAAAGAATGATGAGAAAACTTACTCAAAAGTTCTTTTTTGAAAGGTTTTGTATGAAAATGAAAGTCATTCAATGTTACTCTTAAGAATTTTTCAAATGAAGACGGCTTTAAGATGAAAATTGTAATCATAAGAACAAAGACAAAAAATAATTATTTTACAGTTAAACTATTATGATTTGAATGAGTTTTGTTATTAATCGATTGAATACTGAACAATAAATACTAAAGTAGAATAGTATGAAATTCAATCGAATGAAATGATGAGAAAATAAATCGATAAAAGGATTGCACATATTGGAATCTCGAAAGATACGCCACACCCACACCCGAGATTCATGGTTTATTTTCTTATGAATGTCATATTCTTTGTTACCCAAATAGTTTTTTTTATTGATCAAGCGGCTTCTAGATTGGTACTAATCTGTTGTCACTATATGAATGTTAGTATTCATTTTAGATAGTTGAAAACCAATTCTTCATTTGTACACTGATACATTGTCCGTCGAAAAAAATTAGGATTTTGTTTTCACACTTGGCAGTAGAACTGTTAAAATCCAATGAAATCTATATTGATGTCAACTAACAAGGTGTGAAACTTACGAGGAAACATTTCCAGATGTCTCACTCTAGCTTTGTTCGTTTATACATCATTTGATAGGGAACCTCGAGTAGGTAAAAAGACTAAAAGTATTTTGGCCAACCACTTTTTCTTCGGAAAGTACAGCCACTTTCCTGATTTTTCCAGCGAAAACTAGCATAAAAATAACAATTCATAACTTCATCCAGGAAACTCGTATAGAGCTGAAATTCCTTTTTATGGTAGTCCTGAGGGTTCCTTATATACCCTGAAAGTTTCACACTTATGTCACACTCTTGTTCCAAGTTATAGGACTTTTCTATCAGTAAGGAAACTTGGGTCATTTTTTAAAAGCAATGAGAGGGTTCGTTCCCTAACCTTTTTTGCCAACGTCCAGTGGATCAGCTAGTGACATAGTGCGCCGCTCATCTGACGATTAATATCTGTAGCGAGCGTTACCTCCCTCCTGTCACACAGAAGTCTCTAAATTTAAGAAGGGTTTTTCTTTTGTAGTGTCTGTCTTAAAGACGTTTATGATCAACATTCAACGAAACCATACAGAAGCAAAATATGCATTAGGCAACAAGAAATAGAAAGAGATAACATAAAAACTGTCCTTTTACAATATCAGTGAAAATGGTACATTTCGAAACATTTATATAGCACTTTACCCCAGTAAGAACACTTGATATATATGGTGTAAAGTCTTTACATTGATGTATGTGACGACGACTATCGTCAAAGAAGAAACAGATTTCTTTCACACTTTCAAATGTTCCAGGACTCTGTTCGATGTATCTTGATTGGTGCCACGCATATCTGATCATTGATTTAAGCTTTGGACAGGACGGTAGATTATACACCAACGAATTTATCTTTATGATGTTATTTCACTGTACTAAATTAATATCAATTTTGTAGAGCTTTACGTGATCATACATCTGACGAACTATGTATTTCAAGTGTCTGATATAATAGACATTGCAGGTTTATATAATTGAAGTAGTTTTCTTTGACATTTCTAGTCGAGTTCAGGTTTTTAGTGATTGATACAGTTTCACGTCACGCTGCCCATCCCAGTAGTCTGATAGTAGCAAACACTTTGTATTACCAATTGTAGAGATCAGAATGTTGATGACCCGGTATTCGACGAGGGACCTGATAAATTTTCCCGACTTACTACATGTTATCACAACGTTATGGGCTTTGAAGAGACTCCATTTGACGTGATCACTTATGTGACTGTTTGGTTCTTTAAGATCGATAAACAGTGAGCTTACTTAATGGCCAGACAGTGAGATAGTTGACTGTACGCTGTAAGAAAAATGAAATTTGATTAAAATAATAAATATGATCATATTGTAGTCAGTTTTGCTATTATTATATTTACATAATATTTTTCTCTGTTCATATGTTGTTCTTCGTCTACAGTTATACGTGTTGACTCAACAATCGAATTTTCTATTGCCGATGACTTTGTTTCTATTTATTATTTTAATCTAATGAAGGTCGGTAAATCACAGATATTCTGTAATAAAACAGTTTAGAATTTTTCTTTGATCTCATAGAAATTTAGATGTGTTGATATCCTCAGCAGCATCAGTTAAGATTAGACATTCGTTGCTAATATGTATCATATAAATCGTTCTAAAAAAGTTGAATCTATCTATGTTTTGTTGAGTAATATGGTGTTTGTTGCTGTTGTATATAGATTTTCAAGTTGATGTTCTTGAAAACACAATGCTGTGGATGTTGGTTAGACAATAACAAGAAAACGAAAAAATTAATAATAAAAACATGAACGTTTATAAAACATAATAATGGATTGTCCAGATCATTGTGTTCTGTAGAAAAATAATGCGGATAATATGTCGAATTAAATCGGCATGCGTTTTCATTTAGTACTTTAATCTATTAATTAGAATTCTGAACCTACCACTAAAATGAAGTGAAACTGCATAAGTCTAGCACATTTAACGAAACGTATGATTATCTCGCTTGTCTTTGTCTTAAAAACACATAAATCAATGTTGAACTTTATTGAAAAGGTACCTACTGTTCTTGGCATATATTTCTTCAAAAACGTTTCTAAAAACTATAATATTCTCGTTTCAATATCTCTGTCTTTATTTTGAAGTAAGCTTTAGTCTATGACTGTCAGTACGTGTCACTATTTATGTTTTTTAGCTTTACTTCGTTGAGACCTATTCATCACTTTTATTAGTGGGTCGATTTCTTTTCGATTGATAGATTGAAGTCTATTCGTTTTACGAAAGTGCATCAAATATGAATAAAATTGTCAAACTATGAATTTTATTAATTCGACTTCAACTCTTAGAGTGTCAATAAGCTCTATGAAAAGTTTATTGATCTATTCTATCAATTTCGTAGTTTATATATACTTTTCATTTACTTCGTTATATTAGAACACCAAATGTCAATATTGCAACTCTTTTAAAACGTGTTGCTAAAGGCGTTGAAAAAGAATCCAAAAATACACAAATACCCTATCGATATAGTAGTTGTAACGAAGCAATCTACCTTGTCTTGCCAAATACTCACAAGGTGCTGATGCCAGTTCAGAATATTCATAGACGATCTGTTGTCCGTAAGTTACTTTGAATACATTGTAGATATACTCATTTTGAATACGTCTTCAAACCCATTAAAAAGGAAACGAGCAAAACTAGTTCTTGCTAAACATTCACATTGCACTCAACCATTCCTACTACCAATTAAGTTGTCGACATGAAATTCAAAGGGACCATCACTTAGTTAATAGAAATGAAACACCACCTAGAAGAAGAGTTCCTCTATAATGTGGTCATCCGTTCTTTCGA